AACCTCATTTGTGTATAAGGAAACATATTTTTTTGCAGTCTTGACTTCCTCGAAATAGCTCCCTTAAAAAGGTAATCAAATATCCAAAAATGGATTTCATGTTGTTCATATTTCATGCATTATCAGAATATGTATAACCCACAAGCATAGGCGCTCTATTTCCAAATGTTCTAACTAATTTGGAAGTACCCCATAGATATCTGAAAATCCACTTAACTACTTTCATATGCTTCTTACCTGTATTTGATAGAAACTGACTAACAACACCAACTGCATGGGAAATATTAGGCCTTGCACATACCATGGAAAACATCAAACTTCCAAGGATTGATGAATATGGTACTATTCCATCTCTCCAATCTCATTCTTAGTATAAGGCAAGTCTATATCAGTTAGCTTAAAATTGATAGTTAGAGGTGAACTAACCACTTTAGTTTTATCCATGTTGAACCTACAAAGTAAATTATCAGTGTATTGTACATGTTATATGTGCATTTCTTTGATGCTTTATCAATAGTAATCTGAATGCCAAGAATTTGTTTTGCTGACCCCAAGTATATCTTAGTAAAAGACTTGCCTAATTGTTTCTTCGACTAGACAATTCTTGTCACATTCTTTACAACATTCTTTACCCAATTTACATAAGAAGCAAAATCAAATTACATATAATTATTTATTAAAAAAAACTTTTGAAAGGAAATGCATATTAATGCTTTTTATTAGATGAAAGTTTTTGAACCTATTTGGAAAAATAAATTAATAAATAATTATATGTAACATCCAATTTCAGGATGTTTCTGATTTCAGGGTAGCAGGTCGTAATTTAATCAAATAAAGATTTTAGGCTTCAATAGAATAAGCTTTAGAACTTATTAGATGTTGATAATCTTGGTTAAGCCATTTAAGCCCTTGAATTGCACTTTGGAGCCAAAGGTTAAAATGGGAAAAGTTATATTTCAAAATTCGTGAATGAATTGATAAATTTAGTTTGGTATGTTTTAATCCAAAAGTAATTAGATGTAATTGTGGGGCTTGTCAATACATTCGCATGCATATAAAGATCACTGAAAACAAGGTTGAAACAGAGATGTTATGATTGTTTGAAGCTGTAATGGGTTTGGGGAAAAACACATCACCATAGGCCAGTAAGGAATTTACCACAAAGTGGTGAGCTGTACATCCCAAGCCCATTAAATTATGGTTGGGTTTATATTTAAAGGCTTCAACCCCTTGTTTTAGGTCATTTTTCTTCCTTCATTGCATCAAGAACCCCTCTTTCCAGGAAACCCTAGCTTCCCTTCATAGATCAAGCTCATCATCTCTCATCTCATCTATATTGTTAAGTTTTTATGGCTTTTGGGTGTTGTTTTCTTCAAAGACTGTTTTTTGAATCTTTTCAACTGAAGAGATCAATGTTCATCTACCTTCTCAACCCTTGTGAATTGCAAAGATCTTTGCTTTATTGTTTTTCATCATTAGATCTATGAGTATTTTGTGTTTTTGTCCATTTTTATGAGTTTTGGTACATTTATGACTTGTTCCATGGATTTTGAAGAACTCAATGAGCTTTGGTTCATGGTTTAAGTTAAAATCTACTGATTTGGTGGAGTAATGAGTGTATGAAAGAACTCTCCGTACTCCATGAATGAAGAAAGTGGGTTTTTAGACATTTCTTAGTTTAGGGTTTTAGATCTGGGAAGTTTGTCGCATTATTATTGGAGAATTCGGAGACTTTATCCATTTAAACATAATGTTGACTAAGATCAGAAAGTTGGGTGCTTGGACTTAATGGATTAATGGTGGGATGTCAAGTACACCAAGCAAATTACACCCTTTGTTTGCAAATAAAACGTAATATAATGGTAAAAAGGGGTATCGATCCTCGGGGAAATGGTTGTATTCAATCGCCAATGCAATCTAATAGAACTAGTGTAAAGAAACCAACTAACTAAAATTAAACTAAAAGGGGGGGGGGTGTTTGATTGCTTGAAAACTAAAAGACTTGAATAACTAAAAATCTTGTAATTAAGCAAGATGATGAGATGCGCAAATGTTGGATATAATTGGTTAACCAAGGCAATTCAACACAATGAACATTCGTGTGTTTATCATTAGGATTCAACATGAAGCTTATCATTCATCCCAAATTGGTTATAGCAATCATGAAGCATGATATGCCAAAATTCCTCTTAGGTAGTATGGAGGTTAGGGAAGCCCACAACACACCTTCTTAATCAAAATCAAGGATTTAATTGAAGAAATTGAACCCAAGAAATTGATTAGCCTTAAGAAAGAAGGAATCCCCAATTCCTAGAGGATGTCAATGCTTACACGTCCATAAAGGAGCTATGATCCATAAGCTAGCGTTGATTTTTACCATCATAAAGCCCTTGTTCTAAGTTAATTCAATGATTCAGTGCAAAGCCAAAGAACTAAACTAACAATAGCTCATTCAAGTGCCAAGCTCATGATCAAAGCATTAAACAAGTATAATAAATATGATCTAGAACCATAAACATAAGATAATTGATAATCAAACATGAATCCTTCAGAAACCCACAAACATTCAAAGGTTCTAACCAAAGTTAACCAATAAAGAGAAATTAGCCACTCATGGCAACAGAATGACAATCACAAAAGTCTAATTGCATAAAGAAACTACTAAAAGCTTGGAAAGATGAAAAGAAATGAGTATTGAGCTCCAAAATCGCCTTCTTATGGTCTCTAATGGTGTAAAATCGAAGTGATAGATGATAGATCCAAACCCCCAAGGTAATGGTGTGCTAAATGACCAAAATGCCCAAAACTGGGCAGTTGCGCGGCTACCCCCGCAATGGAGATTCCACCCGTGCAAGTGTTGTAGAGCTGCTATTTGTCCATTCTCCTCCACTAACCATCCTATTACCAAAGATTCCCTTGGTCCCCTCCATGACTCATATGATTTGAATTTGACCAATCACCTTTTAGCTTCAAATATGGATGCTCGAAGCCCAAATTAACAATCCATGATCCGTCTTCACAAGCCCACTTCATCGAAGCCTTTAGCTTTTTTAAGTTCAAATCTCCTTTAGTGGAACCTTCAAGCCCAATAACGCATCGAAAAGCCCACTAAACCCAACTCCAGTCAAACCGCAACCGTAATGAGCTCCAAAACCCTACAAATTATCTCATGTAAAATAAAAAGTCCCCGATATGATCCATGAAAAAGAAAATAAATAAAATACAATGCAAAAATAATAAAAAGAGATAAAAATCTAAAAAAAAAACTAATAAAAAGAAAGAAATAAAATAAACTATCAAATCAACCCAAGCTTAAACCTAACTTGTCCTCAAGTTAGAACAAGACTAAAATGAGCTCAGAATGAACTAAACTAAAAAGGAAAAAGAAAGATACATAGAACTTGGTCAACATCAGTCAACATGGTCATATATAGTCTTTCACGGTCCCTACGCATCTTCAAAATATTCCCCGCTTTAGATCCATAAACCACATTCTTAACAACTTGATAGGGAATAGATCACGGTTGGATGTAGTCGCTGTGTGCAAGACAAAGGAAACAGATATGCGCCCAGTGGGAGCACTTTAAATCACCAAAGCAGACCATAATGCATGAAGGAAAGGCGCCTCTTCACACATTATGATTCCTACATTTGTCAGGCTAAAGTGTATAATAATGAAATAGGTTTTTACAGTGCGGCCTCCGGGCAAACATCTGGTTTTAGAGGCTTCTCTCTTGTACTGTCCTTTACAATCTACCGTCTCATCGTCATGGTCTTTTCTCATAAAAAACCAAAAATAAAATAAAATAAAGAAAAATTCTATTTAACTTAAATCTAAACCTAACAACTCAAATTTTCAATCTTGATCTTCTGTTATTCGGTCTTCAATCTCTTTGCTGCTAGGCAGACAGTCTTCTTCTTTTTCCTTCTTTCTTCTCTTCTCTTTTTTTGTTGATTTTCTTTAATCTTCTTCATTGTTTCTTTTTGTCTTCACTTTTCCAATTTCTTCATTTTTTGTGTGTTTTCTTCTTATCTTTCTTCTTTGAAGGTCTAAGGAATTTCACCACATAACATAGGATGGAGGCTAACATGAACACCTAATGATCATTGAAAATGTGCCAAGATCAACTAAAAAGGATGGGAAATGACTCAAAAATGGGTGTTACCAAAAAATACTTGGTCCCAAAAGATGTGAATTGGGGGACCCACTTCAAAGTTCATCAAGCACCTCAACGCAAGGTGTGATAAACAAAATCTACCTAACTATCTACTCTAGAACCCTAGAAAAGATGATAACCTATCTTAAAAAGTTGGTGAGAATCTAACTAAGTAAGGCTCGGACGAGACTCGGGAGTATTGAGGGGTACTCCCCCCAAAACCAAGATGCGAATCTTCAGTATCTTCAATGTCTTCAAAATACCATACCGGGCTAGTCTTTACTCGTACACATCGGTTTGACCAACCACATCCCCCCACACCTAGACCCAATCAATTTACCTGCCTCAGACCCCCACACAAGCGGTCTCAAAATGGTCTGTGAGGCCCAAAACATGTCCTATTTGTCAAATACAAGGAATTCCATATCAAGACCCGAGACCAATCTATGATTCAATACATATGACTCGGTGCTATGGTACATGTAGGGATGAGAATACAAGAGAGAACAAAAATGCATGAACTTAAACTAGAATGCATCTAAAAAGTATGAAAATTAGAAAAGAAACAAAAAAATATGCAATATTTTTGAATTTTTTATGCAATTTTTATGAATGACCTAAATGACTTACTTTAAATGCAACTATATACAACCTAAATGCAATAAAAATAAAAGACAAGAAATACCTCACCCCAAGCTTAAAATTAAGCATTGTCCTCAATGCTTAGGATGAGAGTAAGGAAAGATCGTACCGGGATCAAAGTGGAGGAGGACCATGAGGGCGGTAACCGCCTTCGGGCCGAAAATGATGCCAAAGATCCTCCATGTAGTTGTTGGTGCGGGCTTACTGCTCCTCGAAGCGCCAAATGAATGTTGTGTTCCAGTTTCCCTGGAGGCGCAAGGCAGCAAGCTGACTGTAGATATCAAGAGGGAACTCGGGCTCGAGATCGGGCTCGTGGTGTTGTGGATAAGACTGGTACTGATGTTGTGGCTCAAAGTGTGCTCCCGAAGGCTGACAATAAACTGGTGGTGGTGGCAATTGTCGGGTTGGGAGATCATAATGGTCTTCAGGCTCAAATGGACTATCAACATTGGCATTTTCAACCTGCATATCATCATTATCCTCTGCAGCATCATCATCATGTAACTCTTCTAGAAAGAACCAAGTTTCAGGGTCACTGGTGGAAAAGGCGGATATGTTGATATTGGGTAGGGTATAATCTGGTTGCTTGACATGGTTGAGCCGGGAGTACTAACGAGTGTTAATAGGCACTAACAACTCCATCCGGGCTAGAGTGAAGCAGTCGAAAAGGTAGAGAGGTGGGTCATCCACGGGCACATACTCGGACTCAGGAAATTGAAGGCCCACACCCAAACCAATTAAGGTAATGAGACCTCCAATGCAAATATCACCAGTGGACTTCGTGCGTATGCTGTCACACTTGTCCAAGAAAAAAGTGGCGAAACCAGGGCAAGACCAACGACGGCTAGTCATGCAATAGAGGAAATATATCTTGACTGTGTTGATTTGTCCCGGATTGTGACGACCAAAGATGGAGGTTGAAAGGATTCGGTGGGTGATTCTCCAACAAGGATGGATGATGTAAGGATCTTTTATCGGCTTGGATTGAAGTTTGGAAGACTAGTGATTTGAGTCCAAAACTCTACCTTGGGTCTGCTCTTGAATTAAGTCCATTGATAACTATAGATGTCAGTGTTGTGCATATCGTATGTGCCCCATGATAGTGTTGAGGTTATTGTATGTGAGTCGATGCTGCCGACCCTAGAGTTTAAATATGTGCACCTCCTCCGCGTCGTCTCGAGCAATAGTGGAAAAGAACTCAAGTGTGGGTTGCTTGAATGTGCGCGCGGAAAGAGCTAGGAAATCGTGCTATCCTATGTTGAAGAACAGTTGTTGCAAGCAATCATCAATACCAAGGTTCACCATAGACTATTGGTGCTAAAATTTAGGATCGCATGTTTTTGGAGGTTGGACTTGAATTGCTTGATTTGTGAACTAGTGAGGGTAAGGTTACCATCACGATCAACATGCTCGGTAGATACTTTTAGTGTTGAACGCGATGATTGAGCTTAATTCACGGGAAGATCCATGAAATGCGTGAATGGTTTTGTTCTTTCTCATTGCACCTGTTAATATAACCTAGCAACGACCAAAAACTTGTGCAAAATTATCCCTCACACTCGACCTCACACCAATCTAATCAATCTAAATAATAATAAAAACAGGCAATTACTCCAAACTTGCAATTTGGCTCGATTTAATACAATATAATCCAATAATTAAAAGCAAACCAAGTCTAATTACTATACTGCACGACATAATTTTATCTAAATTAGAATTGAAATGCAATTAATTAAAAGGAATGTACCAAAAATCAAGTGTCGAAACCCAAAAATAAATCCTCAAAAACCGCACCCCAAACTTGAATTGAACCCGCAAGGATGAATCTTGTGAATCTCCGATGAGAAACAATAAATTTGAAATTTTTGGTTAAAATTAGAAACGGCGGCCGGCGGCGGAGCTAGGTTTTCCGGTGAAGAGATTTTCCCGAATTAACTGTAGATCGGCGTGTGGTAGAGTGTTTGGTGAATAACGCCCCAAGAAATTTTGGAATTGGATGGGAATTGGCATCGAAATCGGGTTTTAACAATTTTCCGGCTAGTTAGAGGGTGGTGGCTTCTTGCAGTTTACCGGTGGATAAATAGGTGGGGAATGGTCGGAATTAAGTGGGGATTAGGGTGGGGAGGGAGAACCGATGGTAACAACAGGCAGTGAGGCGGTAATTGTGATGCGCATTTTTCCACCGAGCGAAGGAGTGCTAGATGGGGCTGCTGGCTGTGACAGACGACAGCTACGAGTGGATTGCACCGATCGGTGGTGATGACGAAGTGGATGGACGTCGATGACTAGTTAGGATTGGCAACTTTCATCAGCTGGAGGAGTAATGGGGACATTGGTGGTTCACCGTAGACGGGCGGAATAAGGGAGGGGGTTTGTTGATGGGAGGCATAAGGGGGAAGGGGGTCCAACGGTTTAAGGAGTTATAAGGGTGGGTTGTAAATGGGTCAGGTTATCGGGTCGAAAAGTGGGTTGGCTCCAGGTATGGATCGGGCTTGGAGCGGGTTACCGGGTGGGGCGGTTAAGTTGTGGGTAATATTGGTTGGTTGTGCAAGGGAGGTGCAATTCTTGTCTTGGCCGTGCAATGAGGTGCGACGGTAGGATCAGCTCACGCGCAACAATCAAAGAGCACCTCATGTTGGGGTAATTTGGAACTCAGAATCTGCGCGGTTGGGGGTCGGTCGCGCAACCACTACGCGGGTACCCGCGCAAATTTCAAATTTTTGGAAATTTTCAAACTTCAACAAGATCATTGTTAGACTTCAATATGCTTATTTTTAGACCAACTTCAAGCTTATAAACACCTAAAATGTCAAGCGGAGATTATTTATGTACAATGCATTTATTTAATATCTTTGCCAAGAGATTATGCCGCTTCCGTTAATCTTCATAAATCGGGCTTTCCAACGTTACGTTATCAAATTCTCTCGTGTCAAAGCCTTCATAAAATTGTTTCAATCGGTGCCCATTCACTTTAAATATTTGATTTGTTTCCAAACTCTTATTTTCAAATGCACCGTGTTCGAACACTTTTATAACAATAAAAGGTTTGTGCCATTTAGACCTCAACTTTCCCAGGAATAGCTTTAAGCGTGAATGATAAAGAAGAACTTATTGCCCCGGAATAAAATGCTTTCTAGTGATGTGCTAGTCGTGAAATCCTTATGTCTTGTTTTTGTAGATGCTTGCATTTTCATAAGACTCGTTCCTCAACTCTTCGATTTCTTGAAGTTGCATCTTTCGGTGCTTCCCGGTTTCTTCGATATTGAAGTTACACTTTTTAACAGCCCAATATGCTTTGTGTTCCAATTCCACCGGTAAATGACAAGACTTTCCATAGACGAGGCAGAATGGAGACATGCCAATTTGAGTTCTATAGGCGGTTCTATACGCCCACAATGCATCTTCTAACTTCAAGCTCCAATCTTTTTGTGTGGTGTTGACCGTCTTTTCCAGAATTTGTTTGACTTCTTGATTTGACAATTCGGCTTGGCCGTTTGTTTGTGGATGATAAGCAATTGATATCTGGTGTGTGACACCATATCTTTTCATCATGGCTTCCATCATTTTATTGCAAAAATTAGTGTCCCTATCACTCACCAAAGCTCTCGGTACACCATATCTTGCGAAAATGTTTGACTTCAAGAAGTCAATTACAGTTTTAGAATCATCATGCCTTGTAGCCTTTGCTTTCACCCACTTTGAGACGTAATCAACTGCCAAGAGGATATAAGTATATCTAAAAGAGATGGGGAAAGGGCCCATGAAATCGATTCCCCATACATCAAAGATCTCACAAATGAGGATGGGGCTTTGAATCATTTCGTTCTTCATGGAAATGGTTCCTATTCTTTGACATCTATCACAACTCTGGCAAAATAGATAAGTATCTCTTGACATTGTTGGCCAATAGAGTCCACATTTGAGCACCTTTCGCATGGTTTTGTTTTGACCGAAATGTCCTCCGCATGCATACTCATGGAAAAACTTCAAGATAGGCTCGACCTCATTTTGGTGAACACACCTCCGTATTAGTTGATCCGGACAGTGTTTCCAAAGATAAGGGTTGTCCCATACGTAGTATGTGGAATCACTCTTCAACTTGGACTTTTGGTACTTTGTAAATGCGTGTGGAATTTTTTTAGTAAACAAATAATTCACAATATCCGCATACCATGGAATTGTGTTGGAGATGTAGAAGAGGTGTTCATCTGGAAATTCATCAAGGATGGAAGAAGATGATCCACCAATATTCAACCGACTTAAGTGGTCCGCAACTAGGTTTTCAGCACCAATTTTGTCCTTTATCTCAAGATCAAATTCTTGTAAAAGAAGAATCCATCGAATCAACCGTGGCTTGGCATCTTTCTTTGTTGTTATATACTTCAAGGCCGCATGGTCGGAGTATACAATCACTTTCATTTCGAGAAGCTATTGCTGGAATTTCTCCAAGGCGAAAACAATGGCTAGAAGTTCCTTCTCGGTGGTGGAATAATTGGTTTGCGCATTATCCAAGGTTTTCGAGGCATAGTAAATGACATGAGATGCTTTGCCTTCCTTTTGACATAAAACTGCTCCAATGGCAAAATTGCTCGCATCGCACATGATTTCAAAACGAAGCTCCCAATTTGGAGGTTGAATTATTGGAGTAAAGGTGAGAAAATCTTTAAGTTTGTCAAATGCCTCTTGACATGCTACATTGAAGTCAAAGTCAACATGTTTTTGAAGAAGGATGCATATTGGTCGCGTGATCTTCGAGAAATATTTGATAAATCTTCTATAGAATCCCGCATGGCCCAAGAAAGATCTCACTTCTCTAACACATGTTGGGTAAGGAAGGGTTTGTATGACATAAATTTTGGCTTTATCAACTTCAATTCCCTTTTTGGAGACAATGTGTGCCAATATGATGCCTTGATTGACCATGAAGTGACACTTCTCAAAGTTTAACACCAACTTCTTCTCAATGCACCATTTCAAAATCTTCTGAAGGTTATCCAAGCATTCATCAAACGAATTGTCATATACGGTGAAGTCATCCATGAACACCTTAATTATATTCTCTACATACTCGGAAAAGATGCTCACCATGCATCGTTGGAATGTGGCGGGGGCATTGCGTAATCCGAATGGCATCCGCTTGTAGGCAAACATGCCAAAAGGGCATGTAAAAGTCGTCCTGTCTTGATCTTCGAGGGCAACAGGTAATTGATGAAAACCCGAGTATCCATCAAGGAAAAAATAATTCGACTTGCCCGCCAGTCGCTCGAGCATTTGGTCGATGAAAGGAAGAGGAAAATGATCTTTTCGCGTGCTGGAATTCAAATTTCTATAATCAATGCACACACTCCATCCATTTTGAACTCGAGTGGGTACCATTACGCCCTTGTTGTTTTCAACAACTGTGATTCCCATTTTCTTGGGAACCACTTAAACCGGACTAACCCATTTGGAGTTGGAAATAGGGTAAATCATGTCTGCATCAAGGAGCTTAATTATCTCTTTCTTTATCACTTACATCATTGGAGGGTTTAATCATCTTTAAGCTTCCCTCCTAGGCTTACAATCGTCTTCCATGAGGATTTTTGAGTGCATACATTAGGACTTATCCCCTTGATGTCCGTGATTGTCCACCCCATGTCATCTTTATGATCTTTCAATACTTCAACCACTTTATCTTCCTGAAAGCCTTTCAATTGAGAAGAAATGATCACCAAGAGAGTTTCGTCGTGGCCTAGATAAGCATACTTCAAATGGCTAGGCAAAACTTTCAATTCAAGTGTGGATGGTTGGATTATGGAAGGAGGCATCTTGTTTGGAGAATGAGATAAGGAAACTTGAGAAACATCCTTCTT